TGTTCGCTCTACGAAAATGACTGCATTTTTGACAAATTTGAGTGCTGCTGGAATGGGTCGGATAGGCAAGTTTCAATTTTTTCTTCTTTCTTTTAGCATCTCTGCACTAATTGACAGTTAAAACTTTTTTTCAACTGAACATCTAGAAGGCTTGGCTGCGTGGAAAGCTTATGTAGCTTGCACTGTGTTTTGGTATTAAATCACCTGTTTAAAATGATTGAAAAGAAAAAGTACAGCCAAATAAAAGAATTAGCTGGATAATTTTTTATTATTATTTTGGTTTATCCAGTGAAGCATCTAAATGGGTCAGTTTCTGTTTTATGTTTAAACTTATTGTTTGGTCTGTGAGGGACTGGGTTTTTTTTCCCCCCGCCCTTTTTGCTATGTTTATTCAATCTTTATTTACTTACTAAGGTGGAACAAGCAGGGAGATCTGCTCAAAGTTTGGCTTGGGGCCTCTGATGCTTTGTGAATTCCAGATGAAATTGTATTAACCAATCCCGATCTTAGGTTATCCAGGCAGAATGGAATGCAGTTATATAACCTTTACCAAGATCAAATAATTGGTTCATTTAGCCTAGTATTACATACTGTATGTAGCAACTGATGCTTCTGATCTTATGAACTCGATGACCTCCAAGGTCCCTTCCAACTTTTTTTTTTATTATTATTATTATTATTATTATTATTATTATTATTATTATTATTATTATTATTATTATTATTATTATTATTATTATTATTATTATTATTATTATTATTTCCAACTGGGAATCCTAAGGATTGGATCTTCCTGAAAATACAGTTTATGCTCTCCTGATATGCATCAATTATCTCCCTATAGTAAATAATTTCTGCATTGGTTGTAACTGATGGTCTTTACGCTGCTAGGCTAACCTTGATAAAACAGTGTATATTTTTAAAAACAAACTATCAGAACTCACATATACAATTGCTAATATTTCTGCCTTAGTGAGATAAGCAGTGTCTACATTTACCACACACACACACATACACAGTATATGTATAAAATATAAATAAATTTAGGCACTGCTGATCTCACTATCAAAGTGATTCTGTGCAGCTTGCAGATAAAAAGTCAAAATCCTACAAAAGATACAGTTAAAACAGAATAAAAACCAATTGGCAGATTTTTAAATTTTTATTTTCGTATCGTATTTGCTTTTAGTTACCTGCCTGCAAGAACCTCAGTCTGAAGAAATTAGGAACTGAAAGGGAAAAATACAATCATTGTGCCCTCGTTTTCCTGATTAAAAACTGCTCGATTCAATTGTCAGTAGTCAACGTCTCTTAAATCTGTAATTTCAATTCTGAAGAATTGCAGTATATAAATTAACAACTCTGGGCCTTTTCCCCCCGCAAAAATCCAGAGTATACATAATCAAAGGAGCTTTTATATTTGCAAGAAAAACATTTAAAATACTCCATCTTACTTCTATACATGTATTTCATAATTACTAACATATTGCAAATGTTTTAAACCGAACGGACTGGATAAATTAAAGAGGTCCCATTCGTGTAACTTTTCTAGTAGCTTCCTCATCCCCACCATCCGTGCAAATAAAGTGCCACCAGTGGAATGAAAACAACCAGCTGCAGAAGGTTTTAAGGTCAACCTCTCTTTTTCTCCTCTTTCTCCACAGCGTCGTCATGACCGGCTCCTATAACAACTTCTTCCGAATGTTCGATAGGAACACCAAGCGTGATGTCACGTTAGAAGCTTCTCGGGAGAACAATAAGCCTCGCACGGTTTTGAAACCCCGCAAAGTCTGTGCGAGTGGCAAACGGAAGAAGGATGAGATAAGCGTCGACAGCTTAGACTTCAACAAGAAGATCCTCCACACAGCCTGGCATCCCAAGGAAAACATAATTGCTGTAGCCACTACAAACAACTTGTATATATTTCAAGACAAAGGGATTTAGAGTAGTGGTCCGGGTTAGAAGAGTCCACTTCCTGTCTAGTTCAGAGAGGTGAACTTAGCATTTGTAAAACAATATAGGGGAAGAAATGGAGCCAGAGAGAGAGAAGTTCGTTGCGGTGCACCTTCCCCAGTGTTTAAACAATGTGCCATAGTGACAACCCATTTTTTTCTAGATAGCTACATGGATGGTTCTCTCTCTCTCTCTCTCCTCTCCTCTCTTTTCTCTCTCTTTCTCTCTCTCTTTCTCTCTCTCCTCTTTTCTCTCTCTTTTTTTCTCTCTCTTTGCTGGGCAGTTCTCCACTAGCCATTTAGGTGGGGGTAGGGCACTTTTTAACGTAAAATTGACTACTTGCACCATCTCACCAAATGGACTAGAGATTGGATCAACATTGGGTTCCTCCAGTTTTTTTTTTATGCCTTCCATTGTGATGACGTCAGCCACAGAGCGAAACCTTCAAGTAATGCTGTGGGATTTTCATTGTGTAACCTCATTACTGTATTATTTGTGCCCCCCCCCTTATTTTTTTTAATTAAATAACAGCTTGTTCTTGCTGTGGCTTGTAGCATTCCTCTTATGTCTCCTGGACTCCTTCTCCCTTTTACAATCCCTTTCTCCAGCCCTGTGGTGGTGATGGTGGTGTCTAGAGAAGAAGAAAAGAAATGAAAAGCACATGAAATGGGTCGGTGGTCAAAGGGGGGGGAGGGTCTCTTGCAAAGAGTAAAATGTTTTAATGAAATGTTGACTGCAATCACTCCTTGCCGTGTCTGGCACTGAAAATGAAAAAGGAAAAAAAACGTAAGGGGAGGGGGGGAATATACTGAATAAAAATGTCAAATAATGACAAATTGTTTTTTTTTCTTTTCAATCTACCTCTTTATATTAAAAATTGTTTTTTTTTAAGTTAAGATACGTGATAAAATGGTTTGATAATGATTTTAACCAGTATTAATTTTCATGAGGAAAGGGAGAAGTAAGGGTTTTTTTTAATGACTTCTATATATGAAATTGTTAAAGACACTTTAATATTTATCTGCAGTTTCCATTAAAATAACGTTTTGGAACACTCTTGGATTCTGCCCTACGCTTAAATAGTAATTGTCTTATTTGTCTCATGTCATCTCCAGTTTGAGCCTTCTCCCTTTCTTCTCCTTAACAGAATTTTGTCAGATTCGGGAAGCGTCTGAATTTTGTAGAATAGTGCTAAAGTTTTATGGGACTAAACTTTTTCATGTGTTAATCCCTTTGTCCTAATTTCAGTGAATGCCTTGTTTCAGATTCAGACTCTCAGAACCGTGCTTTTCTTTCCTTTTTGAAAAAAAAAGAATTAAAGTTTCTTGTTTTTAAAAAGTATGTTGTACCAAATTTAATATGAAGCGATTTGAATAGATAAAAACCATTGCATGCCTGATAACCCCGATACTTAATGTATTTTTATTGCTACCAGGAACTTGAACAGAATTGTAGTTTGACCTTATAAACATTCCTGTTTTCATGCCCTTAAAAAAAAACAAAAAAAACACTTGCTACTACAGGATATAGAAAAAGTCGCAGTGATCAAAAAATGCTTCAAGTCCCCAGTAGATCCAACAATAGATGTTGGCATACCATTTAAAATATTTATGCACCATTTTTAGCGCTCACATATTCTCCAGTACGGGAGATGGAGAATTCACACATATGGGTTTTCATTGGATGCCTGCTCTTGAGACCAAGTAGTCAAACTTGACACGCCCCCTCTTGCTGATCCAGTCTTTAACTTGGTCTCAGCTCTTGCAGACGTGTCTGGTGTGGCTCTCAGTCAATAGCAGGTTAGGATTTATGAGTGAATTCTCCTCTTCCTTTAAAAGATTCCTTCCCTATTAATTAAATTCCCTTACCCATTAATTGATTTCCCCCTTTTATTTCTGGCACTGGGATCAGTGTTTTCCAACACCCCTGCCCTTGGGACGGCTAAGGATTGGGGGGGGGGGAATCCATTGCTGCTCTCCCTTGTTCTTCCCCAGAGCTCTGGGGAGGCAGAGAGGAGACCTAAAACAGGGGGTTTGAAAAGAACGGCTGTTCCTTTCTCCCTGTTTTCGAAGCGTTCCCTCAATTCCCCAGTCGGAGTTGCCTTCGACCTCCGGAATTGCTCAGAACGCGTAGTATGATCGCGGGCGCCATTTTAAGTTGCCGAAAAAGGCAACGAAGATCGTTTTACTCTCCCCTTTTTTGCAGCGATCGGCACGAAATCGCTGGGGGGGGATTTCAGCTTGGCGCCCAGCTCTGCCTTAACGATTCAGCGCTCTGCCTGAAAATAAATTTTGAGGCTGCGGAGCTGCACAGCAGAGCGGAACGAGTTGCGGCC